CCTTCCAGTGCTTGAGGAGAGAAGGCTCCAGGGAGAGCTGAGAGCCCCTTCCAGGCCTAAAGGGGCTCCAGGAGAGCTGGAGAGGGCCTGGGGACAAGGCATGGAGGGACAGGACACAGGGAATGGCTTCCCAGTGCCAGAGGGCAGGGTTAGATGGGATTTTGGAACCAAGATGTCTTGCTGCATTTGCAATGCCCCTTTACACATCTAAATACCCTTCCATGACCTCCAGAAGGCCCCAGCTGGCAGAAGAGGGTCCAGATCATCCCAACTTCCTCACACGTGTCAGCAGAGCCACCACAGCAAAGTTTGCAGGGGGAGGATTTGAGGCTGAACAGACCAATTTGGGGCTTCTCTAAGACCTTTATTCCTTTTCACGTCAGGCCAATATCAAACAGCTCAATTCCACTTCTCTTCCAGGAAGAAGGTTGAAAATCCAAGCAGCAAACACCAGCAGCTGCTTTTAATGAGGTGAGAGTTTGAAGAGCTTTTGGCAAAATAAGTCTGGAATTTGTTTAAGGCTTTGTGGTTTGAATAGGAGGGAGATTCTTCTTTATTTGCTTCCTTGTTTCAGTTTCTTAACAGAATGTGGTTCTTTGCATGAGACATCTGGAAGAGGAGGGGGATGGAGGAACACAAGGAAGGGGTTGATTTGCCTCTCAAACCACTCTGGTCCTAAAATTGCTCAGCTCCTGATCACTACCTGATGTAAGAGGTGTCCCTCAGTCTGTCAATGGATTCATTTCAACTCTATCTATGTGTTATTTTTGGAGAACTTCCCTATTTTTCATGAATTCAAATGGATTTTCAAGGTTCTGCGCCAGAAATTTGGCTGCAGAAAAATCACAGGATCATTTATTTATCCCTTCCCATCTGATTTGACTTTGACTTTGCTTTCTGCTCCCTAAGCTCGAGGAAAAGAAAGCAATATACAGAATTATCTCTGAATCTGTAGGTTCTGCAGATTCCCTGGGTTCAGGATGTCAGGATCAGATGTTGCATCTCCTCCAGCTCTCTCTTCTCTCCATTAAATCCCTTTATTCTCTGTTCTCTCTGTTCTCCTTAAGCTCCCAGTTTTAAGAAGTCATCCCTCATCCACTGAGGGTAAAACCCACCCATTCCATTTTTTCCATGAAGGCACAACCATTTTGACCTCCCTCCTAACAGAGAAGACTCTCAGAGAGTAATTTCTTGGGCTTTGACTTAGGAGGAAGCTCAAAGTAAGAGAGAGATGAGCTGGGAGGAAACCCAAAGCCTGCCCAAGTTTCCTCTCCAGGCTGGGAGAGGGCAAACACACATGGCAGGGGCTGGGATTTCTGTGACAAACAGTGTCTGTGAGCAGCAGGGAGGAGGGAAACCCCTCTGCCTCAGTCACCTCTCGAGTTTCTTTAGTTTCGAGTTGCTCCACGTTTCCCCTGTGAATCCAAATCTCGTTAGTGCCTGAATGTGAGCTGCCACTGCAGTGAATGTGCTCCTGGACACGCTGTTCTGCAGTTTAATGTCTCTGCTCAGAAGCTGTGGGGCTGTCACAGCTTGGCCTGGGTGCCCGTCCCAGAACTGCCCCTGCAGCGGATCCAGACGATGCATGGCTGGAATTCCTGCGCTGGCTCCGAGGGTGATTAAAGGATCTGTGTCAGCACAGCCCCCGGCACAGGGGAATCCCAAAGAGAAGCGCCTGGAGCAGGCGGTTTCAGCAGAACCGTTCCGAGGGGTGAGTCACACCTTCCCAGAAGGATTCAGGGCAGGGTCAGGCTTGTCGAGTGCAGGGAAAACAGGCTCAGTCTGCAGCTGGCTGACTGTAATCTCCATCACCCCTTTCGGCTCGTTTGATGGTGATCATCAACAACCGTCAGTTCGCCGCGTTTCCTTTTTTTTCCTTTTTTTTTCTTTTTTTTTTTTTTAATAAATTCTCTTTTCTAACATTCATCATTTTTGTCAGTGTTAAAAGGCTTTAACCTTTTAACAGGTTCTGACCTGTTTTATTGCTGCTCCTCCCTGCAGACGGAGGATCTCTGCCCTGGGAGTTGCAGGAGATAAGAGCAGGGCTAAGAGAAAGGGAGAAATCTCTCTTTCGGTGGGGAAAGGGCTGAAATACAGCGGGAACCGGGTGTTCATCCGAGCTCAGTTGGGAATCAGAGCTGCCCAGCCCTTACTGAGTGCTCTGACCATGAGACTCTTTCTTTGTGCCAGCTCTTCTTTCCTTGTGCCAGCTCTGCTCAGGAAATTCAGGCAGCCAAACATCATCTGTGCTAACTGAAGATGTTTTAAGTACCCTAACCCTGCACGGGTTCCTCTGCTGGCAATCCTGCTGATTGCCTAATAATAATAATAAACCCCCATATTTTCTCTGTGAAGTGTTTAAGAGTATTTTGACTTTGTTCAGGAGATACATGAAATACTCCCCTGCTTTATGGTGCTTTTAACTAAAGCCGTGTCAAAGCTCTTACATTAAAACGTAATTTAAAACCTAAAAATTAAAATCCCTGCTAGTGAATTATTTTAAAACAACCCCTCTATTAAAGCAGCGATGGTGGGAGGAACGCAGCCTCCCGGCACCACCTGGGGCGTTTTTAACCCGAATATTGTGTTATCAGCAGCCTCAGCGAAGGGGTGCGGTCGGGTGTAACCACGGGCTGGTGTCACGCTCGATGCAGCCGGAGAAAAGTGGGGAACTTCAACCACTTCATGGCGAGATTTTCTCACATCCACCGCACGCAGGGGCAGGGACCGGGACAGGGGCTGGGGACAAGGGACAGGGGCAGAAGAGGGAGTAGGGGCAGGGAGAGAGACGGGGACAGGGGCAGGGGTAGGGACAGGGGCAGTGACAGGAGAGGGAGAAGAAGCAGGAGAAAGGACCGGAGCAGAGACAGGGGCAGGGGTAGGGACAGAGACAGGATCAGTGACAGGAGAGGGAGAAGAAGCGGGAGAAGGCGAAGGACAGGGGAGGGACAGGAGCAGGGATAGAGACAGAGGAGGGACAGGAGAGGGAGAAGAAGCGGGAGAAGGGACCGGGAGCAGAGACAGGGGCAGGAGAAGGCGAAGGACAAGGGCAGGGGGAGGGACAGGAGCAGGGACAGGGACAGGGGAGGGACAGGAGAGGGA